GGTTCGGGGGGCGAATCCGCCTCCCCGCCGGCCGCGGGGGCCTCGGGGCCGCCTTAAAGGACCCAGGGCGGGCGCTGTGTGCGTTTGGCCTGCTGCTCAAAGAGTTCTGTGACACTTGCATGTGCTTTCTGGAGGTTAAAGGGTTGTTATCCTGAGAAAGAACCACCTCAAGTTGTACGTTTGCTGCGTAGAGCACGTGTTCTATAATTAAGATTTTCTGCAACCACCGCATGTGAAAACTAATGCACTTGTTTGTCTTTTCAATGTTCCTAGTCATACTGGGAAAACAGACGTTGAGACAGAGCTCAATACAACTAGTTTTTTAAGAGATAAACTTTAATTTCAGGCAGTACTGTTAAGTCTTGTCTTTTTCCTACTGATGGACAGAGGAAGGTTTGAAAGGGAAATGCACTAAGACGTTGTTCTTTATATCCGAGGATGCATTTGTGCACTGCACAAGTTTCAGTAAGTGGTTATTGTTTTGAAGATCGAGAGGTGTGAGTTCTGAGAGACGATTGGATTGGAAGTACAGATGCAAAATAGGATGTATGCTAGTTAAATATGAGGAAAAATGAAATGAAAGTTTTGATCTGCAGTTCTTCTGCTTTTTGTCATTAACGTTACAGTCCAGGACCTGCATCTGTTTCTGCCATGTGCAGATAGGGCCTAACGATTTCAAAGTAAGAAGTGTTCGTTTTGTCACTCTTTTAAAATATAAGAAGGAATAAAAGAAATCTTAGGTGATGGGGATGAACTTGGTGATGGTGTAGCAGAAGAACTTGGAAAAATAAGTGGCTCCCCCTGCTGCTAATCACTGGAGAGCAAATGTAGCATTGGTAAAATTGTGAGTGCTATAAATTGCCAAATATTGTATGTAATGATAATATAAAAAGGAGTAATTTATCGATTATTTTTTTTTTAATTTTATTACATTAAGTGTGTATTAGCTATTTGGAAAAAATGACATGGTATTGTTTTGAAACCCATTAGAGGTTTAGCCAGATACCAGAAAAGCATGCTCTTGACTGTAGTGAGACACAGCAAAACTCAACAGCAACGTCAGCCAAGAGGCTGGACTTCTTTTGACAGTAACTTTGTGTCTGATGAGGAATCTCGGAGTGTGAAGCAATAGCCAGGTGGCAGATGTGTTGTGCCATGATGCTGACACCCATTCGTATTTCTGAGATTCTGAAGATTTCTTGCAGCATTAGGCCCTAAAATAATTCACTTCTGTAAGAACAGCTACTCTTTGTTACAGCCTCTGATAGAGCTTAGCAGCAGCACATGGGGAAAAATAGAACCCCCACAGTGTTTAGAGCCAACTTAGGGCCTGATTTATGCTGAAAAAGAAAGGAGAATGCCTGGAATGCTATAGGAAACAGGAAAGTCTGGGATTTAAGATTTAACTTTGATCTTTTAACTAAAAGTTGACAAAGGTTATTAATTGACTGAAAGGATGTGAGAGCTTTTTGGTTTCAGTGAACTCATTGTTAGGTCTCGTGTGTACTTCTCAATGACAAGTTTAATTGTGAACACCACAGCCAGAATAGAATTTGGATTAAATAACCAGATTTATATAATTAGGAAACTCAGGGTTGCTTGTTTTATAGCTGGTACTGTAAATCTTCCATCACATTCATGACCCGAGGGTGCGAGCAGCTGTAGCTTCAGGCAGTCCCTGCTAAGACCTCAAATCACTTACAATTTAATTACACCAAAAGGATGTGCAGAGCATGAGTGAAAAATAATACTGCAGTACTTTTCCATGCATGATCCTGTTGGTATTTTTGGCAAGAGAATGACCTGTGTGTTCTGTAACTTGCAGTTGATGTTTATTCTGTAAACCTTTTCAATGTGCAATGTCTCTTGCTCAGTTTACTCCCTTAATGGTTTTGTTCAGGTTTCAAACGTTGTGTTAGACAGTCTGCCTCTTAGAAAGTCTACAATATACATGGTGTGCATAGTGTATAAGTACATTTTTGCACAAATACGTTTACATAATATTGCTAGAGTTAAATTAGATGATGCATTAGTGTTAGCAAACTAAACATACCCTGAATCAAGCTGGGACTTGGAATTTTTAGTCCATCTTGTTGTTCTTCATTGAACCACTGGCTTGGAAGTTTCCATTGAAGCTTGGATCCTACAAAAGGGAATCACTCAGCTGGATTCCCGAATTCCTGCTCCCCAGCATCCTACATCATCCTATTTAATTCTGCCTGAAAGATCAGGAATGGCTAAAGAGTGGAAGGTTTTCCCTGCTTCTGCTATCAGAAATAAAGGATGCATTAGATGTGTTCAGTCAAGGTTAGCCTTCAGCTTTGAAGGTCAGGAAGCTGAAATGGTTCCCAGTTCTTGAACAAATTTTGTCATCAGAGAAGAATGTTAAGGACTCCTGCTTGTTGGCAGATACTTATAGAGCTCCTAGAGTATTTAGCAGACATTCGTTATTTTGAAGGCTTGCATAAATAAAAAAGATAGTGCCTTCATAGTAAAATAAATATAACAAAGATCATTTAGAACTCACCTTAAAGAAGCAGAGCCCAGGCCTTTGTGAAGGAAGCTTAATGAATGAAATGAAACACAGGATACCAACATACCCCATACCAGAGTGTGAGGGTGCCTGTGGTAATGTGGTAATCCCACCGGGCTAAGGACAGAAGGAGCAACGTTTGCATAGAGCTCTTAAATATATTTTGTAAAGGCATGCAGTAATTTAGTGATCATTCATAGCATTTACACAACCTGTGAGGAAAATGCGAGAAGAAAAATGGTACTCTCCCCCACTCCCCATTCTCCCCATTTGGGTAATGTATGGTCAGTAATCCCATGTATTTTATGGAAAACTTTGTATGTATTTATGCCTTGCTAGTACAGTGGGACTGTGATGTGTTTGGAGTGAATTTATAAAGATGAATTTGTGGCATTTCTAGGGGAAAAGTGATTTTTGCATGTGATATAAGGAACACATTTAGAAGTCCTAAATCAATATGTCAGATTACCCGTAGAATAATGTGTGGTTGGTTGGAGTTTTTTGGGGCTGTGTGGGAATGAATAGTATGTGTTTACTTAATTCCAAAAAGACGCTTTCTCATGTCAGAGGTTGTTAATGTGGGTTGTTGTTCTTACAGATAATTTAAAAGTAGATTATATGAGGAGGTATTTTACTTTGATTCTTTGACTTTTGTATTATTTGTAAAAATGTAATAATCTTTGTGATATTTTCTGCCAAAGATAGGAAGTGCTGGGTTAGCAAGTGCTGACCTGGCTGTGGACACTAAATTTCTTCGTGTGACTGCAACATATGAATACATGAAGATGAAAATTTCTGTCAGTATCTTTGGCTGACTGAACAAAAACGTGACTGAAATCATTAGGGTGAAGAAGAAGGAAATAACACAGGAGTATAAAGGCAGGAAGGGTAAATGATATAATAGGTGGTAAATGAACAATGATGTGAGTAAATGGGTCTTGCATCCTAGGAAAATTGTTACTTAAAATAAATTTGTAATGTTCAAATGTTAATTAATTTAACCAAATGAGAAAAGCTATGATGATAGTTGTACAAGATGAGATCCTCACTCCCCACCACCACTGTGGCAGCCAGGAGGAATGCAAGGAACTTGGCAAGTTCTAAATTTATTTAAGGAGCCAAGGATGATAACGAGAAACTATGTTGTGAATTACGTGTTCCCAGTGTCTTCAGTAGGTGCTGCTGCTCGTAGGGAAACTTGGGAACAATGCTCCATGTCAGACAGCTCCAAAGACTTGTCTGGATTATGTCAGAGACACTCCTGCCTTGGGAACTGCTTGAAGTCAGAAGGCTTAAAGCCCTGGTGCACTTTTCCTGAGCTATGAGCTCCTCTTTCACCTCCAAGGAAAGCATTTGTTCAGTTGGGTTTCTGATACAAGCTTCCATGGAGCTGGCGAGTAAAGTCTATTGAGAAGATAAGTGCTATAGAATATAAAATAACAATTGCAAAACTGAGTCTATATTGGTCTAGACCAGATTATGCTGCAGATAAATGTTCATCATACAGTTTATATGTCAGATTTCTCATAAAGAGAATTCCTGGGGACTCCTAGGAAGGCATTCTTGTAAGTATCTTGAAACACTGGGAAATCATAGATCTTGAAATGCTGGGAAATCATCATAGTGAAATCAGTGTTGCAATACAGGTTGGTAAATCCAAATTTCCTTCTCACTTTTTGTTAGTATGATCAAATATTCCAGAAACTCTTTAGGCATATTCTCTGTGTTTGAAAAGTAAACCTCATTTGTATCTTTATTAAAGGTTAGCCACAAAACTGATCCGTCTCACCAATATTAGAAACAGATTTTTCAGCTGAAACCAAAAGAACATTTTTCTTTATTCTAGTTTTTTTAATGTTTACTGGAATATAACTGCACATTGAAATAAGATCATAAACTCTTCATTTTTTATCCTTCTAACCAAACAGTTAAAACCTACTGAATGTGATTTAACACTAGAAAAGATGACACAAGACCTTGTTTGTCAGGTAGCACTGAATACCTGATCTCTCTTGCAGTCTTAGAACTTTTATGATTTACATCAGAACAGGGACATAACTTTGTCATATGTCACACCTACCTATATATCAAAATCAGAATACTATGCAGGACATTTACCTGAAGTTATACATCCATTTTTATATGAACTGCTTGGTCACATAAGACAAAATCTTTGCAGAAGTTTTTGGTTAAACTCAGTTTCCATTGTTTTGCAGTCATCCAACTCTCTGAAGGCATCTTATGAAGACTGGCTGCTGTCATATGGCTTGAGTGTCTCTCCTTTTCACATGCGATGGCAAACAGCTCTCTTCAACCGCCAGTTCTACAACTGGGGGAGATGGAAGCCCAGATTTCTCTATTTATGGTATAAATTCAGGATCTTTTTTCTTCTTTCAAATACATAGTCAGCAACTTAACCACATCTGTGCCTTTCAGCCTGAAAAGTGTAATGGTTAGACATGGCTATTTTACTAGGCTAATAATAAAACCAATCTGGCATGGTTGTCCTAATTGTTCTGTGCCAGTATGTTTTCTCCTCTGCTAAAAAATACATAGCTGTAATATACATTGCATACAGAGATGCTATGAAACTAGAAATCTCTAAACAGTATTTATCAATGGTTTGAACTATACATGATTCTTAAGAGTACAGCTATTACATGTAATACTGCATATGGAAGCAGGTCTGAAAGCAGCTTCTCATATCCTAGATCTGTTCATCACTGTATGCTGAGCTCTCCCCTGATCACTAGAGTTTAGAAATGTGCAAAGGCAGTTGTGTCCCTGTTGTCAATCACTGCCCAGACATTCAGCAACTGTTCCTGTTCAGAAGCACATTGCCCACCTTCTGTCTTTTACCTGCTGGCAGCTTCCAGGCTAAGATTGCACAGACTGCCAGGAATGAATTAATGAGCAGGGTGGTTAGTATGGGTGTGTCTGGACTCATTTAACAAATTTTTGTTCAGTTGCATTTCTAGAATTACTTTGTATTTGCTCTGAAAATATAAAATTAGTTTTAATTTCTTTTCATTTTCTGTATTGCTGCCCTCAGTGACACAGTCATGACAGGTCTGCTTCATATTGGTTTCTCTTGTTTGTAATTATTTTACTATTTCAGTTTGAAATAATTCTATATCAATCACCATTTTTAATGTGGATAATTTATTACAGTACAATGTTTCCACCAGTCTATTCAATTAACATTACAAGTACATATTGCATGAAATAAGTTTGATAATTCCCAGTGAGCTTCTTAAAGAATGGTAAGAGAAAAATTATGCTATTATGAGAGGCAGAAGGACTGGTACTGAATGGAAGTGGTTTTAGCTAGAAAATGAAGTTTGTAATACCCTTCAACTATTGAACAGTGTAAAATAATAATTATGCTGATTAACAATTCACCACTTGGTGGACTGACGTAAATTGAAATTATTTTCAACACCGTTTTTAATGAAAAACAATTTGATTAGAAGAACAATGTGTTTTAAGTGTGGTCTTCTAGTTATACCTTTTAGTTCTTCTTTTTAAAAGGCTGAGTCTTAGTTACTGGGTTTTAGCACTTTTTTTGTTTGTGAGGAAGATGCAACATTTATTGAAAAAGCTTATATAAATGAACATGTATGCTACTCTATAATTTGATCCTGGTCTCTAAACAGTTGATGGTGCAGTGCTACATGGTTAATTATATATTGTTAGTTATGTTTTTATATTCATAGAATCATAAAATGGTTTGGGTTGAAAGGGACCTTAAAGATCATCTAGTTCCAACCCCTTGCATGGCCAGGGACACCTCCCATTAGACCAGGTTACTCAAAGCCCCATCCAACCTGGCTTTGACCACTTCCAAGCTTGGGGCATCCACAACTTCCCTGGGCAACCTATTCCTGTGTCTCAGCACTCTCACTGTAAAGAACTTCCTAATGTCTAACCTAAATCTCCCCTCTTCCAGTTTCAGGCTGTTACCCCTTGTCGTGTCACTACAAGCCCATATAAAAAATCTCTACCCAGCTTTCTTGTAGGCCCCCCCCTGTAGGTACTGGAAGGCTGCTAATGGCAAGTTACATGTATTGGGAAACTGAAAAAAAATTAGAATGTGAGAACAACATAAAAATATTTGAAAATTAATCAGGGTTAGATTTGGATGTAAAAAAATGAAAAATTAAGCAAGGACAATATTACATGTTATTATGGCTGTGCATTGCTAAACTGTTTCTCTTTGTAGGTTCAGCATAGGAATGGTGTTTGGTATAGTTGCCATGTTTGGCTCTGTTATTCTTCTTGGAAAGACACTGATGCAAACACTGACACAGATGCTTACTGAGGCACCGAAAGCCCAGAATGATCGTATGCTGCAAGTTGTGGTAAGTGTTCTCTCCTCAGGTATTTGTTTGAGAGTTGTGAACTGATTTTAACCTGATATTCATTTGCACAAAAATGGACATTGTGGAGTAAGAAAAGCCTCCCTTACATCTTCATTTTCTGAGATGTGGATCTACCCGCTTTTGTGACACCAGAGAAAAGTGGTCATTTGCAATTTAAATAGTTCTTTTGAGAAAATAACATAGAGACAACCAAAGTAAGGATGAGCCTTTAGAATTAATCTGGTGTGCACTGGAACTACAAAAGCAGAAATCTAGGATAATGTTCACAATTTCAATGTGAAATGGATTCCTCAGTGACTGCTACTGGCAGTATCACTGCACTCAAACCAAGGACAACCTGGCATTGAAAAAAATGTAACATATAGGAATAATGCAGTATCATGTATGAGAATAAGGCTGCCTCTCCTAAACTGACTTGTGGTTCTCTTACTTTCCTACCTCATTCTTTCATTTCTGAATGGTCACAGTTGTATAATTGTGTGTTTAAAGAGTTTGCGTATTTTTGAGAGGAATGTGCTAGCATAAGTTGACACAAAAAAGTGACCTTTGTGTGGTAGCAAAGAGGTGATGAACAAGTCGGAAAGACCTTCTCAATGTTTAATTTAATTATTTTATTTGATTGCCTGGAGGACAGTGGCTTAGTTTTAAAAAAATAAAACAACCAACTTTTTTTTTTAACTCAACTTTAGCCTGTGTCATAAATCTGTTTTGCTTTGGCTATGGAGAGAGGGAGATACAGTTCTGCTGTTCCTTTTTTCTTCAGTCACATACTTTATTTAAAATACCTATCTGGAGGTAACAGAGCTGTTTCTCTTTAGCTGCCCCCTCTTGTGTTGGTTGCTTGTTGACAAAAGTGGGAAAAAGGCAGATCGGTTACTAGCAAAGGATCTTCTTTTACTAAAAAAAAATTCCAAAAGACCATAAAAGAGAAGATGACAATGCTTATTAACAAAATACTGCTATTGATTTTAGAACCCTTCATGAGAGTTAGCTTCCCTTTTAGGTGAATGTTAAACTAGCTTCCTTGACATGAAGTGTGACAGCATCTAGTGCTATAGTCATGGTGGTATTAAGATGGCAACTCTTGCTATTGCTATTTGTCCTCCCATGTGCTTGGAGCAGAAGACCACTGGTAATGCCAGTTAACTGATGCATTAGTGCCACCAGCTGATGCTGTAATATAAGCAATGGGTGTTTAACAAATGAAGACCAACTGTCTTTATACAGTGAGGCACAATAGTCATGCCAGTTAAGATACATATCTTGGTCTAGGTCACACGCTGGATAGAATTTTTGAAATTACTCAGTTTAACATGAATGAAAACAGTCACTTTCTTTTACTAGATTGTTTCACCAGCCGATTGTTGAGTTCTGCTGCATGGGTAGGTGAACGTGTATAATTGAGGAATGTGCAGGACTGAATTAAGGTAGGATCAAATGGGATCTGTTCAGTTGCATCTGCAGCCTTTTGTGTCCCATAAGGGTAGTTTTTAGAGAGTGCTATAGACAGGCCAGGATTTTTTTTGCCCATAGCATCTCTTTTCTGCCACTGGATTGCAGTTGAAGTTGCTTTCACATCAGCTGTTAGTGACTGTACTGGAGAGTGCCCTGCTTTGAGCAGGGAAAGCTGAGAAGCAGACAGGAGGTGTCTCAAAGCAAGCAGCAGAAGTCATCTTGCTGTCCCACTGCAGCATGGCCAGAGTGGGGATGGGAACTGAGCATGAGGAGAGAGGGGAAGATTCCTCATCGTGCCTTCTTTGAAGCCTGTCTGGATGGAGTTGGTGTCCCATGATCAGTCCAATGAAGGATGTGGAGAGAGGTGGGAAACCACAGCAATAGGAGGAATTTGAGGGGCCTGCATAATATGTTTTTCATAAATGAAAATAGCGTGCTGATTTCAAGTGTGTTTTTCTTAAAGGTTAAATTGCCATATGTAGACTGCCAAAACTTGAACAAAAGACAAAAGTTACCCTATTTTTGACCTTGTAAATTTGGATAGTCTTGTGAATTGGGTATGGAGAGAGAAAGGAGCCTGACAGTTCCAATTGTAGTTTCATTTTTTGAACTTTCAGGGCTCATAGTGTTTAAGCTTCATAAAGTTGTTCATTTGTGGTTTTTTTTGAAGGGTGGATATTCTCTATAGCTACATAAATAGCTGCAGGAAATTGTAAACTAATACAGTGGCCAGGCATGTCTTGTTGGAGTGGAAGTCTGTGTACATTTTAATAAACTTTTCAAACTTAACACAAAGTAGGACACATTTAGTAGGGGCTGTAGGGAATAAGTAGGGCAGGGAGAAGGCTTTTGTGCCTGGAGAGCTTTTCAACCTTCACCAAAGGAATATATAATTAATATATTTTTAAATACATTGAATAAATTAGGATAAGAGGTATAAAGTGATAGTGCTGTGTGAGAACAGCCCCTCATCTGTTGCAGATCTGAAGCAGCTGAGTGAGAGCAGCAAGTCTGGGAGCAGAATGACTTTGTACCTTTTTGTTTCCTCCTGTGTTTTGTTATGTTGTCATGCCCACATCAACAGGTGCCTGGTGTAAATTTGCCAGTCAGCCAGCTGACCTATTTCTTCTCTGCAATCCTCATCAGTGGTGTGATACATGAAGTCGGCCATGGGGTGGCAGCTATTCGGTAATACAGATTTTCTCTTACTATGTGCCAACAAAGCCTAAAATTGCAGAGCATTTACTTACACAAGAATGTTGTTAGCACTGCTTCGATTTATCTAGAGAATCTGTTTATTTGGTATTTCATGGCTTCCATAGATTTTAAGTTTGGAAGGGTGTATAATTAAGGAAAGAGTTTTAATACCATGTCTATTCTGCAGATAACGAGAAAGGACTTCTTTGCAAATATACTATGCTGCATAAGGTTTAAAATAATACTTCTCAGAAGTGGTCCTGTTTTTCATACAGCAGTTGTGTTTCTGCAGCTGTGGGACTTGAAGGGGACCTGTGCACTATCGCACGATGGTACTTCAGCATATATTTTAAATGGATTTGTTTAAACAGGCTGAAGCAGTAACTCAGTAAAATGTTATTAATCTCAGTGATGTGTTAATTTTGACCAAATACGGTATTTTTTGTGTTACTTAACTGATTGTGTCTGATTATTACTTTACAAAAAAGTTATTGGGTATGGTTAGTCATTATTGTTAAATGACACTCTAGCATAAGAGGGTTAACTGGTGGTTACTGGGACTGATAGTTATGTGCCCTCTGCCTTTCTCCTGATCATTGTCTTGGTCTGTCCCACGAGCATGACCTCCTAAATTGCTTCTCTGGTTTTCTTGAGTGTAGGGCATCATGACTGCATCTTAACCCATTATTACCTTTTTTATAATCCCCAAAGTTCTCAGTTAAAGGGGTGGCTTGGAACCCACGCTGTTTCATAAGCTCTATTTGTCTTTCAGCTTTTTTCCCCTCATATTCATAGGGATTTTTCTGTGGAGAATGAAGCTTAATCCATCACAGGAAGAAGCAATAAAATTTCAGTATTCATAGGGATTTTTCTGAGAATGAATCCATCACAGGAAGAAGCAATAAAATTTCAATTCTCTTACAGTGCCTTCACATGCTGCTGGCTAACTGCAGAGAAGCCAGTAGTAACTATAGTGCTCTTTTTAAGCAGAATGAATAATTCCTGTACCTTAGTGGTGTGGTATCTTCATTCAAGATCTACATCAAAGGCTCCGAGTATTTAAGTTGAGGTTATGTTTCTGTCAAAAAATGGATTCCCAGTTATTTCCAGGGGAAAAAATAGTTTGCCCAATGAACATTGCTGCTGCTGCCGCTGTTTTCTGCTTCACTGTTTTGTTTTGGGTTTTGTTTGGTTTTGGTTGTTTTTTTTTCCTCCTAGCACAAGTTGGGTCTATAGTGCTGTTACAGTCAATCATCAGGGTTTAGGCTTTACTAAATAGCTATGCTGTGGGCAAACGTTATTTTTCTGGCAAATCACTTTGACTCCTTGAAATCTAATATGCTTCTGCCAGCTTCAGTTCAAGGTAGTAATGGTTGTAAACTACAAGAAATATTTTAGCTTTAGCTTAGTCAAGGCTTGTGCTAAAAAAGCCTTTTTCTTCTTCCCTTTTTTACCTCCTACCCAAGCCATTGAGTCTTGTATAGGCATTACACTGCCTATTACTAGTTGGTAGCATGGGTAAGTCTGATGAGTTAACTCCAGGAAATTAATGTATTACGTCATTCTGATTATTTGTTTATAATTCTCTGTCTTCTTTTATTGTATATCCACAAGAAATAAATAAATGTGAATAAATGAAATGCCATGCCCAGTGTATTGTTTCAGTACAAAGATGGGATTAGCTAGTCTGTGCCTGGTTTGTTGTGGAACACGATTGTCTTGGAATAATAATTGGAATGTAATTGTCTTGGAACATGATTGTCATGCCTCTGTAAGTCCCTTATGAAATTTCTAGCTTCATAAAACCTTTATGTAGTTATTGAAAAAATGTCATTTAAAAGCAATGGTAGAACCTCTGATAAATACATGTATTATCTTGACTTGTTTGCATTTTTTCAGATGACTTTTCCCTCATTTTTGTTAGTTTTCACTTGAATCTAAATTTCAATCAGGCGAAACAGATACATGTTAAATTCCAGAAATCTGTAAGTGTTTCTTTAACAGGAAAGCGATTGCTTCTTCCAGATAATTTTTCATACATTAGTTTGCAACTGCATCCATTGCAACTGCTGCCATTTTTTTACCTAAAAGAAAAAAATCCCCCAAATGTTAAAAAATAAATTAACTTGAAAGTAGGGGTTTTTTTCTAAAGTATTTCATGTGTTACTGTTACCAGGAGACTAAAAAGAAGTTGAGCTTAATCCTTTATTTTTCTACTAGGCTCACAAATGTGTGCTACTAGAAAGTGGCAACTACTGCAGGAAACATCCTTTAGTTTAATTATCTTTCAATTATTAGCATTATGAAAATAAGTCCATTTTATTACTATAATTTTAGTTATCATCACTGCCAAAAAATGTGTGCTATGTAGAATCTGTCAGTTTGTCATTTGCTTGTTTGCAGTAACACCATTTCATTTTTCTTTTCTTTTTAAGAGAACAAGTACGATTTAATGGATTTGGGATTTTTATCTTCATTGTCTATCCTGGAGCTTTTGTAGACCTCTTCACAACCCACTTACAACTGATATCTTCAGTGCAGCAATTAAGGATATTTTGTGCAGGTAGTAGCTTGTGCTTTTTTATTAAATTTTTGCTTAGCACAATAACTTATTCTGCAAGCATAGTTTGTGAATCCTTAATTGAGGATTGAAGGTTTCAAATTAATAAATACAAAAGCTTCTCTTTACCTAAAGGTCATTCTTTTGTTCTGAACCTATACTGTCATTTTTGGAAAACCATTTGATTGTTACTGTCCATATTGTGCTGTTTTCTGAAGCAATCTGTTATGTCATTTTTTCAATAGAATTGTGAATGATTTTCAGTGATGTGTGAGTTATCATATTATACAGGTCACTGTGTTTTGTTGTTGCCATCAGGAGGAAATAAAGGCCAAAACACAAACGTCCAAAGAGAATCACAGCATAAGGTTCCAAATAACCTCCAAATGTTTTTGGTTTGATGTTTTTTGAAGCCTGTGGCTATTGGGAAGTAGAGCCCTGTTGCTGTGGAAAGTTAAACTGAAACTGTTATGCTCCTTGAACCACTCGTATTATTGATTTCTAGAGGCAAAGGTGCTTCCCATTATAAGCTGTAATAGAAAATTATTGCTTGCATGTTTTTGATGACAAGCAAACACCTACAATAACTTTTCAAGTTTCTTGGGAAACATGAAATATGGGAATATGAGCTACAAGCAAGCATATTACAAGACTGCTTAGCATCAATAGCTTGTCAGTTAGGTAGATCAAATACATGTATGTTTTTGCAGTTTATGGCAAGTATGTTTCATAACTAGGATGTTTGATAATGATAATGTGATACTCAGTAAACTTGACTCAGTTTTTTTCAATTTTCAGAGCAGTTGAATGAACCTTCTCTCAATGTTCTGTGGATCTGACTTTAGAGAGACATACTTGAATGGCGTGCTAAATGAAAGACCTAGAGTAGAGAACAACACCAAATATTCCTTTTGTAGTCCATCTGTACTCTGGAGTATATTTGTTGTACAGCAGATGGCATCGTGAGTTCAAGAATAGTGAATGAGTGTTCTTGTAAGATGTGATATGTTTAGCATTAAATCCATACCTAATAGATGAAAAGTGCTTTTGTGCAAAACTTTCTTATCATTAATTCAAATATTTGTATTATGTTTTAGATCCTTTTTAATACATTTTTGTCTTGTCATTAACAGAAAAAGGATTTAACTATTTTTAAAAAACTATTATAAGGTGTTCTAAGGGTTATGTGAAGTGTCCCTTTTTAAATATAAGGAATTAGGTTGATGAGGCTATTTTAACAAAATTAAATTGGTGGTATACTCAGCAGTGTGCTTCTACAGGTATTCTAATTTTGAGTCTGTTTATTTTTCTAGGGATCACCTGGGATTAATTTGAAGCCCTTCTCTTTTAGATTTTTCTGCTGTATTCCACACAGCAAACTGTAGATTAAGGTATTAAGGCCCATATTTTTTTCCTAGTTGCTTCAAAGTATTCCTTGTCACCTTCTAGTAGCTCCATCAGACAATTTGTTATTAATTTATGGGGGAGGGGGTGTTCAGTTTACTCTCTCGCAGCCACACTGTTACAAGGGATTTTTGTTTCTGTCTTAGATTTTTATCCTTAGTTGAGCTGGAAAAAAATATTTTTGAGATAAAAAAGTTAAAACAAGTTAAAATATTTACATAATACTTTTGTTACACTTGTGTGTATTTGTACATTTTTTTATATATATGTATGTGAGACAAAGAGAACTGAATGCTGGAACATTTCATCGATCTGATAGCCTTTCAATAAGATATGATTAAAAGCTGTAGAAAAATAAAAACTTCAAGAAGCATCTACTAGTGGAAGTAGCATCAAACCCTTAGTTAAAGTGCTCCACAAACGTTTTTCATTTCTGTAGCATTAGAAATGTAAAAGAAGACCAAGTGAAAAAAAACCAAAAGATATACAGATATCGAGGGGAAATAAGTGTCTGTCATGTGGTATGACTCCTGTATTATATACAGTGCAAGAAAGATAATTTTAATATGTTTTTAAATTTATTTACTTCAGTCCCTCTGCTGTGACTGCACTGTAAATATTGAATGGAATAAAAGCCCTCTAAACAAGATGACCCACTCTATGAAGGAAATAAGGAGTCTTCAACATTGAAAAGTTTTCCTGCATTGGTTATACAAAATGTTTGTCCAGAGAGACAAACTAAATTAGAAAATGTGTGTATTACTGAATGTTGAAGGAAGCCAAGTCCATGTTATGATAATGGGTCATTTCTTCCTATGGAGAACAGCATAATATAAAGATTGCATTTCCAGTATGTTGCCCAAAGTAATGTTTCAGGAAATTCTGACTGCATGATTTAGTTTCTTGATGTGGTTTTGGGTCCAGATTTTTTTGTGAAAGAAGCCCTTTTTAAAAATAATTTTCTAAACTTGTTTAGCACATATATATGTAATTACTTTTATTGATACAATGAAGATAACCATAGAAAATACTGAATTGCAACAAAACTTCAGACATCTTGATGACTAGGACAAACAATATTTATTCACGTATAAGCCTATTTATTAAGCTTCATAAATTCAACAGTTGATTGTGGTAAAAAGTGACCAGCACCACATTTCATTCACTAGATTTTTAGTCTTTGTGATTGATGACAACTCAATAGAAACTGTAATTTAATAGTTGATTCACAAGTGCAGTTTTTCTTCTGGATACTCTGCCTGCTGTGTACTTAGAAAAGTATTGTTGTGTGCTGAAATATCAGTATCAAAATATTAATATTGTAGAATGACACCTTAAAAATGAACTTACTACTTCACTGTATTTTCTGATAGTATAATTCTAGGGGGCTCAGAGGCTTCTTTAAAACTCCCCTTCAAAGTGACGTCATAGAAACTTAAGTTTGTAACATAATACATGTGTTCTTTCATACTTGTGTTCACAAATTAACTATTCATCCAATCTTACAGGAATCAGGCCAGGAAAGTTAAATAGAAGGTAACTATAGATTCTTGCCCTTCAAAAACACTTTTTTTGTTCTTAGTATTTATTTAGAAACTTTTTTTTTTTTTTTGCTTTCTTTTTAGGAGTGTGGCATAATTTTGTTCTTAGTGTTGCAAGCTTCATGGTGTTGTTTCTGCTGCCAGCCATTCTTTTCCCTTTCTATTACACGGGTGTTGGGGCACTTGTCACTGAGGTTGCAGAGGTAAGAAAGATCTTTGCTGTTTTCACATTATATCCTTTCTGACCTGAAATGTACCCATGTCTCTTGTTATCACAATCAAATTTGGTAATTCCAGTACTCTGCAGAATCTAATACATTGCATTTTTTGTGTGCTTGACGTTTCCTTTTCAGTCTCTTGTGTTTTAGTATTAGTAAACGAAGGAACATACCTATAGACGATTCAGGACTCTATAAAACTGTTTAGACATTTGAGATGATTTTGCAGGCTTATTTCTAGAGGTTTTTTAACTTCTTTTCAATATTGGCACCAAGTAAATCTGCTGGAAATGGCATTATTGCTGTAGTTATTGCTGTCTGTTTTTAATGTTAAAGAATATTTTAAGCTGATTTTCTTGCTTGTTTGATCAGCTGGAAGGAAAGTAGAGGTAGACTGCTGAGATTCTGGAAAGGACTGATATTTTTTTGGCTTAATCAAATACAGAACAGTTGAACAGCAGGGCTGAAAGGATTCAGTCCTTGGATCTAAAAGTGAACTGATATAACTCAGGAGAGTGACATTTATTATTTTTTATACCTTCTAAAGTACAGGTACACTCTGCTTTTTTGAAAGGTTCAGGGTATTAAGTTAAGCTACTTGAACTTAAAATGGTTCAAAAAAACATAACTTGTTAACTTGTATGAAAAGAATTACTCAGATTTGAAGAAGTCCATGAAATACTTGGAGACTTGCCCTTTCCTTTTTCTTTGCACTAAATAAGTAAGTAAGGGTGTTGGTTTTGTAATGCTTTATCCTAAATGGCAATAATCAGTTCTAGTGGAGCCTGAGATTTTCTGTTTCTTTGGAAATAGTGTCTTAGTCTAAATATTTCTTGGCTATTCAGTAGAACTGTAAACAAATCCTTGTAGTTTTAACTATAATGATATGACTGACTTCAGTGCTTCTTCTCAGGATTCTCCTGCCAATGGGCCACGAGGTCTTTTTGTAGGAGACCTTGTCACTAACCTACAAGATTGCCCCGTTTATAGTGTGGAAGACTGGAATTCCTGTCTGGGAGACATTTCAGAGAAGTCACAGGTTGGCTACTGTGTAAGTGCAGCCACCCTACAGCAGTTAAGCTTTCCAGCTAGAGGTATGACTTTAGGTGCTCTGTTCATTATTTTATATTGTAATTTTATCATGTCCTAAAGACCATTTTGAATTTAGGTTTTGTTGGTGGGACAGATTTATTGAGTTGAGTCTGCTATCCTGTTTTAAACAGTTACCAATATGCCATTCTGTTTTGTGAAATATGAAAGTGAGGAAGAGGTAGATAAAATAATTCCTCTGGTCTTCCAGTCATCCTGTGCAAATACACTGTATGATCTGAATAAGGAAATTTGCCTTTTTAGGATATTGCATAACTTGGTTATTAGCAGTAATAAAATTTTCTCTATTTTTAGTTCAGTTACATGGATCAACTCACTGATTGTTTGCAGATGTTTATTCCACAGATTATTTAACCACTTTGATCAGCATGACATTACAAATCGTATGGCTTAACTCAATGGTGTGCTTTATTATGGCCACTTCTGATGTGTCTCACTATATGGGTTTTATGTTTCATTTTCCTCTTCGATGTCATAATGTCATTGCCTATCATAAACTTAGCTTTGTCTGGATTGCACATACAGCTTCTGGAGGTCAGTCTATTTACTTCTGTTTTCATGTATACATTAGAGTGCTTGTTGCTGTAACTGACTTACCCCTGAGAAACAAAAAAATGTGAACTTAGCTCAACTAAAACAATTAACAAAAATTAAGTAGAACAAAAAAGAGCAGTCATGTTACATTGCCTGAATGCTGCTACACCACGTAGACTGGCACAAATCTATCGGGCTGGATGGGATCCACCCAAGAGTGCTGAAAGAGCTGGTGAGGGTGCTCACCAAGCCACTTTCTATCATGTACCAGCAGTCCTGGCTGACTGGAGAGGAGCCTTGGTGAGGCTGCACCTCGAGCACTGTGTGCAGTTTTGGGCACTGCAGTATAGGAAGGACATTGAGGTGCTGGAGACGATGCAGAGAAGGGCAACTAAGCTGATCAGGGGTCTTGAGAACCAGATTTATGAGGAGAGGCTGAGGGAGCTGGGGTTGTTCCGCCTGGATAAGAGGAGGCTGAAGGGAGACCTCATTGCTTTCTATGACTACCTGAAAGGACGTTGTAGTGAGGCAGGTGTTGGCCTCTTCTCTCAAGTAAATAATGATAGGATCAGAGGAAATGGGGTCAAGTTGCGCACGGGGAGATTCAGATTGGATATTAGGAAATGTTTCTTCACAGAAAGAGTGGTGAGGCATTGGAACAGGCTGCCCAGGGAGGTGGTGGAGGCACCGTCCCTGGAAGTGTTCAAAAAATGGGTAGTCATGATGTTTTCGGACATGGTTTAGTGGTTAGGGGTTGTAGGGCGGATGGTTGGACTTGATGATCTTGAAGGTCTTTTCCAACATTGATGATTATGTGGTTTTGTCATTCTATGAATGTTTTGTGACATGTCCAGAAGCTCTTTCGAGTTAGTTTCATACAAGCATCCATGGAGATAGAACCCCAAAGGTAAGGGGCTGCCGCTGAACAAAACCTGTATGACACTATTCAGAGCTTTAAAATGGTCACAGCATTTTTCCATCATACTGGAAGTAAACAGGAGGTCAGGCAGCTCGACTACCCGTGTTTTTTGATGCATTATAGTTCTCTTGTGAGACTGAAAAGCTAATGTATTTATTTTTTAGTATGTAAGGAAAGTAATCTTACAGCTGGAACTAAGATAAATATTTAAACTGGAAACAGAATATGGGTGAGAACCTGCTTTTTAGAGACCTAACAGTTTGGATTATCCCTGTGAAGAGAAGGGCAACTTTGGGACATGCTTTCAGCTTGGCGGGGATGGCAAATAAGAACCAATTCTCGGATTTTGCTGTTCTCTGAAATGCAATTTCAGAGTCATGGATAATATAAATGCATATTTTGCATCTGAAACAGTCCTATTTAGATTGAAATACTAGAGACTTAATCCTAGGGACTCAATATTGCTTCCAAGCTTGGTTGGTGTATTGTGTTTGCAGCCCATTGTCCCACCGCTGCATTCTAATCAGACCAGTCTGTTTGCATTTTTGGAGTAATAAGCCTCCAGCAGTGAGAAATATTCCTCTGAAATTAAATAAGCTCTGTTTGGTCTCTAGCAGCTGTCATTTGTCAACATCTTGACAGTTCGCAACTTGACATAAATTCAGAATATCAATAAAAATGTATCTAGCAAATGGACCCTATCTACTTGACCATAAAACAAATGGAGAGTAAATTATCTGAGTATGAAGCTAGACAGAAAACAATGCCCCAAGGACATGCTTGAAATTAAAAAAAAAAAGGAAAAAAAAAAGGTGTTTTCAGTGTAGCTTATAAGGAAATTAATTTCATGGTCAATCGCTGCTCAAAAATATATAGTTGCTTAGCCTCAGGGTACTTGAAAAAAGGATTGTACGGTACAGTGCTTGCACCTGTAAGCCTCGGGCATAAGCTCTGTGTTAGTGGACTGTAGGTTATCCAGTGACAACTCAGCAACCAGTATCTCGGGCTTGATCTACCTAAGGAAGGTACTGCAGTGCTGCTGTGACAGATTCTTACAGAGGCTATTATTTTGTGTGTTTTTTAAAGGCAGTTGTTGAGCAAGTTAGGTTTAACTCCTTTGAAGAACATCCCAGACAAATATTCTGTACCAGACTAGGTAAATCATGGGGTAAGACATCATTTATTCACTGCTGCAGCCTTCAAGACTTGGAAAGCTTTCAAAACCTGAATCTTGTAAAGGCTTTCTTCTTTTAAAGAGGACATTTTGAGTCTTGGACGTTTCTGTAGCCAGCCAGTGACATCAGTACTGTAGCAGCTAACAAATTTCTGTGCCAAATCTTAATGCAAGCTGGGGGCAAGGGATAAAGGTATTTTGTAGCTCATAACGCTCAGCACATTGCAGGTCCCTAGCGTCTCAAGGAGATTTATTAAGATGTAAAAAACAGTATGTGGCATGGCTTTAATCACATTCACACACACAAGTGTGTGAAGCTTAATTTCAGTTGTGATTGTACCAGAGCTAGGCTGTGTGAATTACTATAGTTCTTGAGGGCTACAGAATGATTGTTTTACTTTATTCAGAGACTTTTCAGGCAGTTACTATAATAATGATAATTTGCTTTATGTCTATATTCTTCAGTCTATAGAAGACTCGATGGCACGGTTGAATGTTGTAGTAACAACAGTCTCACAGACATTTGCTTTTCCTATAGCAATAACTTGGACAGCCACTTGGTAAGTTACTTAAACTGCTAATTCTTTCTGGTAAATCTGAAATTATTTAAATTAAATTGGTAATATTTACCAACATTTATGCAGCATACTCAAGTGCTTACAAATACCTACAGTTTGTAATAAAGATGTATGTGTATGTTATTCTCCCCATTTACAACTTAAAAACCCAAAAGTATGTGATTTTTCCCATGATCAAGCAGGAAGTCTCTGGAACAACCAGAAAAGGTCATATATCCCAAGAGAAGGTCCTAGAGATTGCCCAGTTTCTAAAAATCTGTGCCTCTGTTTGACTCCTTTTTCACTATGTGGAAACATACACAGTTTTTCAGTACAATTTTGAGTTACTCTCTTCAAAATACAGACAGGTTTGCTAAAATATTGAGAGTGATGGAATATTTCTAACGGTCCTAGTTACAAGAGAGAGCAAACGTATCAACTGTGTAAACTTTTCTACACATACCCATGCTTTGTTATTGTTCTGATCTGTAGTGCTAGATACTTCAAGAAATTTAAGTAAGTCTGTTCCTACATCTGCTGCTTTTTGTTTTTGCAATGGTAAACTTCCCATCCAAGGTATTTTTATGGTATTTAACCACTATGAACTGAACACAGACCAGCAATTCATTTGAAATATACAACACAGTGGCTGGTAACGTCCTGGAGTTCAGCGAGATTTGATAAATCACTGCCTCACTGAGCTTTGACATTCTTAAGCTCATAGCTGCAACTTAGGAACAGAGAAGAAATAAAAGCATCCAGAAGCCTATGACCTTCAAGTGTCCTTATATTGGCTGTGGGTTTTTGAACAATTATTTTAAATAGACTTTGGAGTGCTATGCAGCAGTATTTGAAAGCGTGCCTTCTCCCTCTCATTAGAATAGAAAGAGCTTGTATTGAGTTTAATAGAGAGTGTCTGACACTCATGCATCTATGTGGAGTGTAAATATCAGGTTAACAGGCAAGAAAATATATTTTTGTTGGTTTTTTTCATTTGTTTGTTTCACTAAGGCAAAGAGTAGACAAATAACTTTCCTTGCTTGTGTTTAAGAACAAAATGAAAATCACCACTGAGCTTTTATGAGACATAAGGAGGAAAAACAATTTCCTGTTCCTTTCTGCTGTCCTCAATTTGGCCTGCGGGGAGCAAGAAAGATCTAGTCTTTCAGACTGCTGAGTGAAAGTGTTATAGATTGGGCTTGGGACACAGCAATAGATTCAGCTTAGTTGAGAATAGTTTCTTAGCTATCATGCAGTTGGTAGGTTTTTTGGTTTGTTTGCTGAACACAAGGTTTTGTGCAGACAAATGAAGGTTTAGATCAATGAAAACTAAAACTATGTGTAGCTTTTTAAGAATAGTTAACTGTTATTTTTGTACATGTGCACACCCTCTCTTCCACATTCCACCAAAAACAGAATGACAGGTTGAATAAGTATCAGGTAAAGGTTCTGAAGGATTTGACAAAACAAAATAACCCAAAAATCATATTTCAGCTCTTCATGGGCTGGTAGTATATCTCTGAGATACTTCCTTTGCTTTAAAAAGGGTTATATAGAACCTTCTTTTCTGATCTGTTGGAAAATACTTTTAAATTTGATAATCATTCTAAATGCTCTTTTTAGTATGCCTGTCTGCCAGCACGAAAAGTTATTGAGGCCAGCAAAGTTTGTCGAAGCAACATGGACTGCCAGAAGGACTTTGTTCCAAGCTTTTGTGTGACTCCTTCTTTAGAGAACCAAACAAGGCTAATAAGGGTGAAACATCCACCCCATATTGACATGTTGTTTGTAGGACACCCCATGCATCTTCAGTACACAGGTTGGTATTATTTATTAAAACAGTTTAACAAAAAAGTTTTTAATGTGGTGTATTTTGCCTGACTGCTTGAACAAGGTCTTGGAGTGTTTAACCTGTCAGTTAACCTGTTAAGTGCAGAGTCCATCTCTTGTTACAGCCAGTGAAGAGACATGGACTACTCATGCCTAAAATGAAATGTGCATGGTGCAATGATTTACCAAGGTAATAGAAACCATGTGTGATATGAGATAGTTTTTCTTTTTCAGAAAAATTTGAAAGGCCAGATCTCACTCAGTTTAGTCTTGGAAACCAGGCACCCTCATTTTTTCTGACACATAAACTTCACAAAATGCTATTGTAAAATCTCTAGGGTATCTTGATCTAACACCTTCCCTGGAGTATTAGCATGACTGTTTAAATCATACCAAAAGTCCAGGTATTTGTGACAGATTCCCATGATTACTGAGCCACAATTACAATCACAACATAGTTTTTTCCTGATTTTTTTTTTTTTTAATTTGGAAGCTCTAAAGTAAAAAAATATATAGCAGTTTAGTTCCTTACTTTGAAATAGACTGTGGCTTTCCTTTAGGCAAGCTTATATCCTTGGGCCAAGTATACGAGTAAAGAGTAATTCTGGAAAGAATGAACAAACTCATCTACATTCCTACTTAATAGCATGAGTGGCATGATGAAAATGAGCTTCAGATGGGCTTAAAATGTATGAAGTGTTAAACTGCTTTCCCTTCCTATGAGGAACTTGTCTGTTCCTCACAGACATCTATATTTCACAGGGAGATTCTATTTCAGGTATCTTTAAGCACCTCCTTAACAAGGCATTCTACCTTTTCTGAATAAGAACTAGAAATAGGTACAAAAGAGCTTTAGAAACAGTGATGAAATCTAGTAGTTTAAATCCACTATAATTCTTGCATAAATATGTATTTAGTTAATCTGTCAGTCTTTATCTTTCTGTGCTGGTCATATTTTGATACCCAATGACAAATTCTTTATTTTTATTTGTTTTCACGATACACTAATTTAAGCCTGAAATAAGGTCTCTTCACTTGTTATTTCTGCTCTTTTACATCGAGTTGTGTGTTATCAATACATAGTTCTGTATTTGACTGCATCTGTTCTAAATGCAGCAACAAATTGTAAGAATAGCATTTGATAATTATTTTAGGTTCCTTTTCTAGGTCTCTAACAGTACAAGCAGTAGGTATTCTAGAATGAAACAGTTGACACTGTTCTCTTTTCCAGTATGTTGGAGCAGTGGAGTTTTAGTCAGTGTTTTCTACTGAATGGTAATTCTGCAAAACAGTTGAACCTGTCAGTCTTTCAGAATCATAGAATATTTTTGGTTGGAAAAGACCTCTAAGGTCATAAAGTCCAACCTTTAGCCTAACACTGCCAAGTCCATCACTAAACCATGTCCCTAAACAACACATCTATATGTCTTCTAAACACCTCCTGGGATGGTGACTCAACCACTTTCCTTAGCAGCCTGTTCCAGGGCCTGACAACCCTTTCAGTGAAGAAATTTTTCATAATATACAATCTAAACTTCCCATGGCACAACTTGAGGCTATTTCCTTTCATTCTATCACTTGGTACTTGGGAGAAGTGACCAATCCCTCACCTCACTGCAATCTCCTTTCAGGTAGTTGTGGAAAGTGATAAGGTGTCCCCTCAGCTTCCTTTTCTCCAGGCTAAAAAGTCAAAAAAGATTGTTATTACATCTAAGAGGTAGTTCTACTTTAAGAAATTACTGTGTGAAAATACAATTTCCAGGAATATAATTCTAAGGTGTTTTACTGCATCCTAGGAATTGCACATTGAATATGCTAATTTGAAAGCTAAAATCTTGAGTTTATTACAAATTTTGCTGCAAATGCAACCTGTGCTCACCTTGGAAAAACACCAGAGCTCAAATTATAGGATCCTTGGGCAGCAGGTAGTCTACTGTACCATTACAGAGTTCTGTGCATTCCAATGGAACAACTTTAAATATTTCAGACTTAACTTTGCATTGTACAGTACTGGTTTGAGGCAAACAGATTTGATTCTTTTTTTCCAAATATGACGGATCAGAAGGTGGTAAACATTTTTCTACAGTTAAGAAAGGAAAATAATTTATTCCTCTACTATGTGGCTTTTGAAATAGGAATATGTTTTAGTGAAACGCCCTATTCTTTACTGGTACCTTTCTGCCTGCGAGAAACAATACTTTTTAGAATAGTGCCACATTTAACACACAGCCTGGTATGGGAGTTGCTTTAGTGTGTATTACCTATTATTATTATTATTATTATTATGTGTATTACCTAGTATTATTATAATTACCTATTATCTAGTAATATCACTAAAATAATGTTTGAAAAACATTCCAAGATTATGTATGCATTATTTTCTACTTAAGCTTGTCATGTTATCATGATAATCCTGGTTTATGGAGAAGCAGTAAATTATTTCATATTTTCATTTGAAACTAGCTTCCAGATACAATATTTTTAAAAAATTATATCCATATTAGCTATTACAAGAAAAAAAGCTATATAGGTAATTTCTATAAAGTATTTCTGTTTCCTCAAGTGAAAATATCCTCATGAAAATATTTTTTGTTGATATGGATGCTATATGTCTCTCTTGTTTCTGGTATGAAAAAAAATATAAAGTATCATACTCTTAAATGAACTTACAGTGCTGGAGATTTGGCCAAAACTAAACCACAAGGAATAATTAGGAATGCGTGTTGTTTAAGATGGACACATTGATTAATCCTTTTAATTAGCATTCTTTCTGTTAAAAGTATCTAAAATAATCCAATATAAATTCATACTGTGGGTTTAGTTCATGTGATATTGCTCAAGACTTTTAGACTTTTCTTACTGCAGGCAGTTATGCCCTAGAGGCTCTCCCTGTGCTGGACAAATTATATATAAGGTTGAAATGGAGGGTGCTGTCATTATTGCCATGCAACTTTGAAGTTTGTTCTTGATTTTGTATGGGGCTTTTTTATTCCTCCATATCATTTCTGGTATTGCAAAATCTTGGCTTCCCTCTCTGGCCATTGTTGGTTGGGAAGAATTTGGTAACTGACATTCACATTTGGAACTCACACAGCCTGAGGGAAGATCATATCCCTGAATGTTACTGTATCTGCATCACCAACCGGGGATCAAAAACTGCAAGATTTCCTTTATAAAAAGAAGATGGAACTTACATATAAGATAATTTTCGTAAATTGGATCAGTGTCCTTTTGTTTTAGCCAAGTCTTCTGGGGAAAAAAAAAAAAAAAAGGCAAAAAAAAAGGCACTTCCTAGCTTTGGTGAGTTTTTTGGGCAACAACAGTCATAATCCCTGATGAAGGCCTCTCTGTTAGAGTCTCTGTTAGAGGTTTCTTAGTCTTTCCATGCATGTTTCCCGTTACTCCTGAGGATGATCGTTCTTTGCTTTAACCCATACTTAAAGGGTTGTAAATGTAGTTCTTCTGGAGACCACACAGAAATACTTCATGCTCTTCTAGCTCCAGGAAGAGGATTTGAAAAGCTCTTTGGAAAATTTCTGGTCTCCAAATCACTTCTAGTTAAATTTGTGTCTGTTGTGCATTCTTCTCAATATTTGCCAACACATATAGCATTAGCTGACAAAAGAAATGTTAATTCCAGGTCAAAGAATTATTTAATTAGAGTGGAAAAACAGTGACTATTTTGTCTCACCCAGCTTCATTGCTGTTCACCTGTTCTCAGCAGAGTCTTTTGAAAGACAGGCTTGGAGAACATAATTTCTGTAATTCTCTTCTTATTCCTGAAAGGACAGATTTGCCTGCTGCCATTAGTTTCGATCCATTGCTGCCACTAAGTGAATTGCCTTATATTGCAGTGTCTAGAGTTCAGTCCAGCAGCTTCTCAAAGAGAGTTTCTTTGTGCTTTGGAGATTGCTTCAGCAGCAAAATTTGGATTTTAGATCCATGTCTAGTGGCTGGCAGGGACCACTTTGTTGTAACAAAGAGGGAAGGAGATTACTGATCCATTGGTAGAGTAGACAGAACTTCAGGTTCAGGATGGTGACTTGTTAGTGGTCATTAGGTGTTTGTCAAGCAGCAGTCAAGCTTTGAAATTACACTATGTTGAACTGTGTGTTTTTTTAAACCTTTGAATACACTGTCTGCCTCAGCCATTTTGCTATTTTGGCTCATAAACAAGAGGTCTGATCAGATGTTCTAATGCTAGCCTTCAGCCTGATGAGTTGTTTGCTTTGGGTATCACTTGACTTGGATGCTTCTGACTTTCTGAGCTGGGTAGTGTCCAGGATTTCTGTCTGTTACGTTCTTCTCTCAGTAGTCCAACAAACTTAATTATTTTCTCTTGCTTCCCCTAAATCAAAGGTCTTTCTTAAGCTAAGGTAAGAGACAACATGATTTTCAAGCTGTCTTGGCAGAGCTGCAGCAGTTTTGGTACTGGAAAATTCTCTGCTTGTTGCCTTACCAAACCCATTTTTATTTTGGGACTCCTTGCTATCCAGATCTCTCCATTTCATGGTGTGTTTGCTGGCTGTATTACTTCTGACTCATCAGAGGGCAGAAGAAAATGTGTTTATGCGACTTAGTGGACCAGTTCTCTGTTTCATATGCCTTTGAAAATACTTTCCTCATGTCTTTGTTCTGATGTCCTTGAATTGTTCATTGAACTTGAAGAAATCTGATCTCACTGTTAACTAAGATACATTTTGCAGCACTTTTGGTATGTTATGTACTAGTGTTGAGGTTTCCAGTCTCCTCTAAGCCTATAGTTTTAAAATTTCTCAAAGGGTAGATTAAATTGTTCCTTTCTCAAGGGATGTTTGTATTGAGTGGGATTTGGACTCTTGCTCTGTGGAAATGGCATTTCAGAATGGCTGTAACTTTTTCCTAGGTTGGTCAGGAAATTTTGGACCGTTGTGGTTGGCCTCAACTCTCATCTAGAGTTGTTCTATAGGGAGAGAGTGACTATTGTTGATACTGTGTAAGCTCATTCTTAAGGTGATTTTCTAACTCTGCTTTAATTTACCCAAACCTCTTTCTTCTGGGGATAAAACTCCATTATGCTGTGAGTGGAGCCTTCTAGTAGGAAAGATGTCTCTCTTCCAGATGTCACAAAACTTAGGCTTTCAAATGGTCCCTGAGGCTGGCAGACCGAGACTGCTGTTTACTTTCAAAACCTGCATCAAGACTTTTTATGACAACCCAGACAGAGCATCCCTGTACCAACAGAGTGCACTTTGGGAAGCCTCAAGCTTCCTCAGTTTTCTTTGAAGAGTCTCTTGTAAGCATTTGACATGCATTCAGCTAAAGTTTCATGTACACCTTCAAAGAAGTTACAGTACTAAAGAAATTGTTCAAGGTCATGTGGTGCTTGACACCGTGATTTTCCAGTTGCTATTTATATGAAGGATGCTGAGTCCCACCATCCAGGTTTTTAAGTTGCACTGTTACATCTTGGAGTCACTTACGGTATCATCTGAAGACAGAAAAAGAAGCTATTTACATACTAGCTAACTGGTGTTAAGATGTGTAATGCACCCATGCATCATCTCTTAGCCTTTGCTGTCTCAGAGTGACTCTAGAACTCTGCCCCTATCTGCCCCATTTCTGTACACCATGAGCTCAGCCTTAGGATGGGGGGATCTTGTCCAGGTTCTGCAAGAGAAGAGTTTTCTGGCTTTGAGAGAAATTACATGTGTGCACCCATAGTATGAATGTATACATGAGGACTGCATATGTTGTAAAGTCTGGTAACTATAATCTCTTTTTATATGTTTTTCTTTGAAAAGTACTTAAATTACACAATATGATCTTTATGACCACAGATGTCCAGTTGCCTCTGAAAAACTGTGTATTTGATCTAATTTTACTGAAATAATGCTAATTGTATTTTGTTGTGTGACTTTACTGTGATAATGACCGTGTTTAAGAAAGATTTAATGGCTGCACTCCTTTAAAACCAAGCAAAACTGTCATTAGATTAGTTATTCATACTTCAAAAAAATTATTTCAGATCTGATTTTCTACAAAATTATCATCTTAAGATTCATAATGTTGCAATCCTGGAATGACTGTTCATGTTTTGTCTATCTTTATCTTTTCATTTCAGTAAGTCTCAGCAGTTTTGTACCACGACAAAACTTCCTAAGCATTGATCTCCCTGTGGTGATAGAGACATTTTGCAAGTATCCTTTGAAGTATGTTTATTCTTTTAAGCCAAGGGGGAACTGTATAGAATTTAGTGACCTAGCAAAATTTCAGCTGGATATCATTTTATAGACAGGATGCCATTAAACATTTCTGTAGCGTTTTAGCATCTTTATCCCATCTCTGCATTGATTATTGTCCATGGGCCAAGCTAAAAATGAAATCTTTCACTTTCTTGTGCTTAGCAGGATGTTTTTTGGCCAGTGCTTTTTTTAACTCTTTCTTAAGGGTGAGTCTTAACAGCTCTCATGAGAAAGCCAAAAGTAATCCTGAATTTACAGCAGGACAAATGAGATGTTATTGCTAGCTTTGGTATGTCAGTTTTATCATTATTGAGTCATTATACTGAACTAAATTACAGGGTATGTTTTTTCTTTCTTTTTTCCTCCAATAGAGAAGAAAACAGCCTATTAAAAAAGCAGGATTGTAATTCAGTTAAAATATGCTTATTAATGAATTATTGATACCTATGCATACATAAAGCATAGTAGACTGTATTATGGCTATTCTAAGATCCCTTAGCCTTAGAAAGGGAAATGTTTATGTGTGGCTGTACAACAATTAAACAGTGTAGTTCAGTTTTGTCTGTAAACCTAGAGTAAAGATGCCACACGAGTTCCCCTTTTCTGGGATCACCCCAAGGTCCACACTGACCCTGGTGCCTTTGTCTAGCCTGGCCATAATAGGAGGGAGCTAGGTATTAAAGTTAGCAAGCTTTTACCAGCAATAAAAATGATCTACCCTTGCTTCATTCTTTCATGCACATGCACGTACAGAAATCCACTCAGCTTTTCTGGCTAACAGGTAAGTAGGAGACAGAGGCCAAATTTCAATTATATTCTAGCCATTTACTTACTCCAGCAAGGGAGTGTTTTGGAAAATATTCCTAATCATTATTTCATACTTAGGTCATAGGTCTAGAATACCTTCTTACTTCAGGTGTGGTGTCAGAGCTATAACCTTCATCAAAAACCACACAGAGCAAGAGAGGAAGATGGGCAGTATCAAGTGTGGTTTTGCTGTCTCCTGCTTTCATCCGAGTTTTGAAAAGTGTAGGTTGTTTAAGTATCCAAACTTAGTGCTTAAAAACAAAACAAATTAATCTATAAAGGCAATTCTCTGAGCTGGTATGTTATGGTGTAAAAATAATTGTACTCATAATTTATGAGAAACAAAATGGCAGCTAAAAAAATCACAACTTTCATATGGTTCTGCATACTGGAAATAAAAAATAAGTTATGTAATTATATATATATATATGTATTTTTTACAGTTTCTTGGATATTCTTCATTAACCTTAACTAGTGTCAACTAGATACCTAATTTCATTGTCAGGAGCACTGGCAGTTATCAATGCTGTACCCTGCTTTGCTTTGGATGGACAGTGGATATTAAATTCATTCCTGGAAGCCACTCTGAGCTCCCTGATTGTAGAAAAACAAAACCGAGAGCTTGTTGGCTTTTTAATTTTGCTTGCTGGTAGTGCACTTTTGGCTGCCAATGTTGCACTGGGACTTTGGATGGTGACAGCACGATAGAACATTGGATACTCTTCCATCAACTCTCAAAGTACACAGAAATAATGAATCCATTGCCTTTTAAAATTGTTCAGTACTGAGATTGAAAAAATTCCCCTAAAATGACATGGAAAGAACAATCACGGTTGACTGCTGTTTTAACTTAAATCTCTACAATGTTGTGCCTGTGATCATGGGAAAACTAATAGAAGTGGGAACCTTTTTATATACTCTTTAAGCACTGTACTAATTTTGGAGAAATTACATTGTGAAGTTTCACATGAAAGACTTCATTAATTGAGATCTCAAAGTAAGGGCCTCAAACATTTGTAAAGTGGGAGGAAGAAAACCATACAGGTTTTATTTTATCATTTGAACAATTGTCAGAAAATCTGTGCAGGCTCTGATCATGTCTCAGTCAGCACAGTCTTCAGCATCACATTCTGATTTTTTAATCTGGAGTTCTACCAGACTGGACTCTAAGAAGCCCTGAAGTCTGATCTCAAAATGGTGAAAAGCTAAGTAAATTATTACCATCTGTTTATGAGAAGGGAGAGGCCATATGGGTTAGTAACTTTGCTTTTCAGCTGGTCAAAATGGCTGGAAGCATGTTGTCCTCAGGATGTAGATGAGAGGTGCCAGCGTCTGTTAAGACTGCAGCATGTGGGAGGATCACCAAGCCCACATCTGTGTTTCTTACATATTCAGTTGTATATTGTCATACCCAGCTGAACATTTTTTTGAAGGCAGTATTTGTCAGCAATAGCTACAGGATAACTGAAATTTAGTTTCTGAGTGCTGAAGTATGCTGTGTACAATTGTTCCTAAGTGGTAAGTGATGTTTGTGTATTTTTACTCAGAAAATAATACTGTATTATACTTGTCGACAGTTAAAAGTGAAACCTGTTGTTTTTATGGTGTCTGTCTTCTGATGCTATGCATGTAATGTGTTTTGTGTCTTTCAAAGGGTTGTTTTCCTTTAACAGGATTCATTTAGTTCACAGATAGCTAACAAAGATGTTTAGCTGAAGCTGGTCTTGGATCAGAATTGTTTAGAGGAGAAATATTATTCTGGTTTGAGCTACTAAAACAATTGGCTTTGCTTTCTGAAATGAATATGGACCATATCCTTGCTCTTAAACAAACAGGGGAAGAACAATTAGTGTTGTGCTGACTGAAGGATGTCTGACATACTTTGAAGCTCTGTAATATTTTGTACTTGATAAGATTATATAATAATATATCCTCCTATTATATATTGCCTATTTTATATACATCAGGTTCATTCAGCTGCTTGCCTCAGATCTTTTAAAAAAACTGCTCTAGTTCAGGAGCCTATATATTTGAAATAGGGACATTTTTAAAAATACTTTGCAATTTCTGACTTGTACAGTGTTCCCCACAGGAGCTGCTGCAGCTCAGAGTTCCTTTACAGAAACAGTCTTTCCATCAGCAACTGAAGGAGGAGCTAAGCTCCCGGATACTGGCCTACAGGCACTACTGAAGCATTTGTGGCCAGCTAACAGATTCTCTTGGCATGAGAGATAAAAGCCTGGGTAATTTTAAAAGTGGGGTTGAGCCCACTCATGCTACTGCATGGATTCATAGAATCACAGAATCATTTTGGCTGGAAAAGATCTGTAAGATCATCAAGTCCAACTGTTAACTCAGCACAGCCAACTCCACCACTTTTTAACTACATTTGCATTTGGCAACTGATGTGTCACTGTATTCTTGTATAATAGCCTTCACACTAAATTAAGATGCATTCTTACAATGATGCAAGCCATAATGAGAGGGCATGTTTGTTGATTTGTTGTTGTGTTTGTTTACTTACCTCTCCAGTGCTGTCACAGGCTGGGTGGGCCTCATGAAGCTCATCTCTGTGGAGCAGCAGGCGTGTGCCTCTCATTTTCAATCATTTCAGCCCAGGCATGTCAGCACAGGTATCAGTAAGAGGGAGTATATCCTCCACTCAACTCCAGCAGGAGTTGCTCCCTCTGGGTACTGTTAAAAGTCACACCAAAGGCAAGAAAGGAAAAGCAAACTATAAGAAACTGCCAGCGGGGTTCTTTTTCTTCTGAGGACACCCTGAATGTCTAATTCCTCATTAGTCCTGGAAACGTATAGACGCTTCAGGGTAGGAGTTCTGATGGGACACTCTCCCATCCCTCACTGGACGAGAAGGGTAGGAGCAGCCTGGTTCTTGCCCAAACCTGGCTCTGAAGCTATGCTCCAGAAGCCTGCTCACTTGCCTAAGTGGCTGCTTACTTATCTGAGCTCTTCCTTTCAGTGGCTCTCTGCCACTGCTCTGGCTGTGTCCAAGCTACAGTGCACAAAGTTAATCTGCACTTAGGAGTTTTAATGCAATTTAGTAAGATGGGAAGGTTATGTTTCAAAATAGCTACTCTGTTGATCAGAGTTGCAGTGCTGACATGCAGCTATGATGATTTCAAAAATATTCTGTGAAAAACATTTCAAATTTTATACTTTATATATTCATTTTGACTATAGCTGCTTGGGACAATCTTTTCGCATAGTACCCCTCCTGAAAATGTAGGTGAGAGATTTAAAAAAACAAAGTTTCTGAATTAGCATGCACAAGTTGTTTGCTGTACTGAGGCTGGCAGGTTGTTCTTGGTTATTTATTGCACGACCAAAACATGATGTTTTATCAAAGGAAACTAAATCAAATTTATTTTACTGTACACAATTACTGAAAGCCACAGTTACACTAAGGGGAACTTCAGTCTCTGTTTGACCTCATAATCAAAAAGAGGGTGAAAAATGTTTTTTGGAAAACAGACACACTAGTACACCATAAATAACCTGGTTATCTTTTATGGGAGAGAGAGTGCTAGAATGGCTTAAAAATAATCCATGGGTCTGTTTCCCATGTGCTAGAATTCTGCTGAATAAGGGTCAATTTAGGTGTGTAGATACATATTTGAATTAATACTTGAAGCAAACTGGGTATGAATGGTGACCCAGCACATCTCAGATTACCTGTGAACAAAGGTAATGGTTAAGTTAGACCACTCTCTGAAGAAAAAATTGTTCAGTGTATCCATTTCATTCTCTTATAATCCTAACATATGGATTACATTCTGGTAAGCAAGTGCCATTCATATAGTTGGGCAGGGGATGTTTAGCAGAGAGCACAGAAGGACACGTTTTTTATGTGTTGGATTTTTATTCTGGAGTATTTGCAATGTTTCTTCTATTTCTGTTTTTTTGTAAAAACTGAAAGGAAGCCTTTCCTTAAAATGAAATCTTCTTCTGAGTAGTCCCTCAGAATCTAACATATTCTTTAATACAGAATCCATCAATATAGTTATATGGCATATTGATTGGGGTATAAAACAGAACACTCTTAAAGATCGGATGGATACTACCATTTATGTATATACTATGCATTTTAAATCTGTATCAGATGGAAAAAGTAATTTCTAAAATTGGGAAGTGTTATACATAGGAATTTATTTGAAAATCACCAGAATTCCATAATTATAACCAGCCATTGTTCTAATTTATTTAAATTACATTTTCTTTTCTGTCAGCAAAGACTTCCATAGCATATTCTGATAACAATGCATGATATGACATGAAGATGAATAACTTCTTAGCATGTGGAAAGTTACACATTCTTGGGTAATTTAGGAAATGAAAACCAGCTTGTTTCTGTGTAAGTTAAAATGAAAGAGACTTCACTAGAAAAAGGAGACAAATTTGCAGATTAGTCAGCCCAAATTTATGAGCCACAATGGAAAATCTATTAGTTCATCTTTTTTTATTTAGAATTAAACAAGCAACTGTATTGACAGGTATACTTCTCAGTGATGATTCTGGGTTTGTGTATATGCATGTGTACACATGTATACATACATAGAATAGATACACACACTGACACAGTCAGTATTGCTGCTTTTGAAGGGATAACTTACAGCAGTCCTTCATACTCTGCAATCTCATAGTTTTTCAAGCTTTCTTCCTATGAGTCCCATTTTCTCCCCATAATTCATCTAAATTCTTTATTAGCAGAAGTGATGGATATAACGTAACCACAGCTGCATGAGTTTTCTTCAGCTGATGTTTAAAATATGCTTCTTGCTTTCTGTGAAGCCTCAGCTACAAGCATGGTAAACAGATTTTCAGGGCAACTAAAAGAGGTCAACCTTAGCATCCATCACTCTCTTAAGTGCTGCTATTTGTGCTGTTCTGAATGATCACTGGGACAAGTGACACTGTGTAGTGTATACTGAAGAAATAATGTGTTCAGGACAGGCTTTCCCATGGCAGTCAGGATGTTTCAGCTTTCTTGAAACAAGGGTATCTTTTTGTTCAGCTTAGAACATCAACAATCCAAGTTTCCTAATAGTTTCATATAAATTTTACACAATGGCAAGGAGTGATCTGTTGCAAGTAAGTTTTTATATTAATTATTTTTAAATTACTTATGTATGTCTTCTGTCTGAAAGATCTGAATATACAAATTCAGATATCATTTCAGATATCATGCATATAATTTATGACATATGAAGAAAGGTTATCAAGATTTATGTAGCCTAGGCTGTATTTAATTATTTTAAAAAGATGTAAGTTAAACTCTTGAAATAAATAGTTATTTGAAAAACGTGCATTCAGACCAATTCCTGCAATCAGTCTTGCCTCAGCTTTGTCCTTGTGAATAAGGAAGCTGAATCTAACTTCGGTAAAATCCAATGTTAGCAGCTATTTTATACCCTTTTTATCCTCAACTTCATGTGTTGCTATATATAGGTTAGTTATTTAATGTGGCTGAGTTGTCTGCTGACATGTCCTGTATTAATGCAGCATTTGGGAAGCACTGTACTAGGGACTGCCAGAAAACGGCAGCTCTGTGACTCTTTCTTGTTCCTTGGATTCATCCACTACAATCATGTGAAGAGCAGATGGCTGCAACTACGGATAGTGAAGAACTTCAGTTTATGGCAGCTTTATGAAACCTTTACATTGCTGACCTACTGTGAAAGGACAGGAAC